AATATATGAATATATGGTGTTATATAGCTTGGTAAATATAATCTTTTTATAATTTTTTGATTATTATGAGGATCTTCCTCAATGTTAGCATTATTTGTTGACGGATTACACCTTATCTGGTTATTCCTGACTTTGTGGTTATGCCGGTGACTGCTTTCTTTCATATGAATCTTGCTCTTTTTCTTTTATAGAAACCCCCATGAAGATCATTTCTAATTGTAGTCCTGACAGAGTTTTTGTCACTCTTTGAACTTGAATTCGCGACCTTGCGATTGAGACCCAGAGTGCTAACCACTACACTATCGACCTGGGGTCTTGGAACCAAGTTTGTTATATTATATGCTGCGAAATAAATTATATTAATAATAAACCTCAATTTAAAATATTGCATGGCAAAAATTTTGAATTTCAAATAGTAAGTTACTCAATTTCTGAAGCTGTATTTAATCTTAAACAAGTAAGTTTAATAAATTAGATTTGTTTAAATTTAGATTCATTTACAATTTAATTGGTAGATTAGTGATGCTATAAAAATATCATAGTAATATGATCACTAATCATTTAAATATAATATTTATTAATTAATTACTTTTTATTAGGCTTTTGATTTTAATGAAGATGTTTTAATACCTGATATATATATATTTGGATTACAGTTAGAATCAGTTAAAATCATATGAGAAACACCAAAGCAATTAAAACTAATAAATCGATGTAGCCAATCTACACTTGAAAAAAGAGCTTGTAAATTTGGTAAACTAATAAGTCAAAAGTTTCAATTTCAAGCAATACAATTATATTATAATAGTGATCAAGTAGTTTTAAAAGCTTTAGAATATTCTGTTAATGGACAAAGTTTTCATGTAGATTTTAGTAAAGAAAAAGAAAATCATTTAGCAATAAATAGTAAAGCAATTGATCAGGGCAAATCTCACAAAATGCTTATCAAGATCTTGCAGCAATTAATTTTTATATACCTCAAGAATATGCAATATCAGAAGCAAGAATAGCATTAACTAAAGAAATAAATGAAAAAATTAACATATTAGCTATTTATAATAAATATTCAAATAATAGAATTAAACAAGAAGATAATAATTCAGATGATAATAATTCAAATAATAGCTTAAAAGCTATTAATAATAATAATATTTTAGAACTAGATATTCAAAGAAATATTAAAGATATTCTTACTTATATAATACCATATTTAAAAGATAAAAATATTTTTTTAAGCTCTTCAACTATTTATTTGCATATTTCTGGAGATGGTAGAAATGTTAGACGTAAAATAAAGCATGTGATAATAACTTTTATGATATTAAATGATATAAGTCATCATCATAATCCAGATTATCATTATACAATTCTTTTATATTCTGGAGCAGAAGATTATAATATACTTAAAACTACAATGAGCCAATTTCTTATTGATTTATGGTTGATTAAAGAGAATGGAATGTTAATTGCTAATATTCATTGGAAATTTGAACTATACTTTAGTTCTGATTGGAAATTTCTTGCTATATATTTAGGACTAAATACAGCTAATTCTCTTCATTTTTGTCCATGGTGTTTATGTTCTAAACAACAATATGGAGATTTATTAAAAAATTGGCAAATAACAAAAACAATAGATATGATTAAAGAAAATTATCAAAATGTTCCAGGATATATAAACATACCACTTTTTGATATGATTTCTTTAGATAATATAGTATTTGATAAACTACATGTTTTATTACGAATTACAGATCGTCTTTGAGATTTGGTTCTAGCTGAAATTAAGAAAAAAATCTTTATAATAATTTAACTTGTAATATTATTATAAATGAAATGAAATGACTTTATATTCCTTATCAATTTTGGAAAGATAAGGATTCAGGAACTAAAAAGCATATATCACTAATGGGTAATGATAAAATTAAAGTTTTACGATACTTTAATTTAGAGCTTTTTTTTTCTAAATCACGTGCACAACTTATAAAAAATCTATAGAACAATTTTGATAACTTATATGAAGCAATTCAAAATAAAAATACTAATTCTTTAGAATTTAAAAAGGCTTCTTATGAATGGTTAAAATTATTTTTAATGACAGATACAGAAGATCCTCATAATAATCAAAAAATTATAAAAAGATTATATTTACCAAGCTATATAACACCATATATTCATATATT